TATATATATATATATATATATATATATATATATATATATATATATATATATATATATATATATATATATATATATATATATATATATATATATATATATATATATATATATATATGTATATATATATATATATGCATATATATATATATATATATAATACATAATATATATATATATATAATATATAGATAATATATTATATATATATATACATTTCCAGTGCAATTTCCAGTAAGTATCCATCCGTCAACTTTATTAAGGGCAACCCATACATCATAAAGTTTAGTTTTTTGGCCCTGCCTTTGACTCGGAAGTACCTGTTTAAAAAAGACATTATTTTATTGCTTGCAAATAAAAAATAACTTTTAAAATTATAAATATATATATATATATATATATATATATATATATATATATATATATATATATATATATATATATATATTTATATATATATATATATATATATATATATATATATGTAGAGAGTGGGAGATTCATACATAACTACATACATATTTACATATAATGAAAGTATATATATTTTATGTACTTTTCAATTTTAAAAGATATTTTTTATTTGCTAGCAATAAAATAATGTCTTTTTTAAACAGGTACTTCCGAGTCAAAGGCAGGGCCAAAAAACTAAACTTTATGATGTATGGGTTGCCCTTAACAAAGTTGACGGATGGATACTTACTGGAAATTGCACATGCATAGCAGGGTAATAAATTATTTTTAAAAAACCATTTATAAGATAGCTTTTCATTTTTAACATATGCTAAATAACCTATACTAATTTTTTAGTCTTGGATCTGTATGCAGCCATGTAGCAGCTCTTCTATTTAGACTAGAAGCATGTGTTAGAATTCAGGCAAATAAAGTTGCAGTTACTAGCAAACTTTGTGTGTGGAACACATCTAGAAAAAAAGCAGAACCATCAATGCGACAAAACATTAATTTTAAGCGACCAATGAAAATCCTAAAAGAAATTACTCATTTTCTGAAAATGTTGTTAAGTTTAGCAATAATAGTTTACATAAACTCAGGGCAATTGCCCCAGAAGCAGCTTTTTTTACAAGTGTAGTTGGTCTAGCACCAATATTTGATCATAGTTTTAGTGACAATACTGCAACTGCTAATGAAAACGATACAAATTTTTTTACCAGAGCCAATTACTTCTTTGTTTGACAATAATGCAAACAACCTTGACAAATCTTTGCTTGAAGAATTTTGCTTATCCAAATTTAATGAATACAAAAACAGTTATTCTCAATGCAACTTTAACTTATTGGCAGAAGTGAGTAAAACTCAAAACCTGTCGAATACATGGAAATTACATCGAGCTGGTAGAATTACATCATCCAATTTCCATGAAGTTGTAAATAAAAAATTACAAACGTCAAAACCTTTGTTATTCAAAATAATGAACTATGTAATTTCACCAAATGTAGCAAGTGTTATTTATGGAAGAGAAATGGAGGACAAAGCACGTTGTTTTTATATTAAATTGTTAAAAAAAATCACAACAACTTCAAATTAGAAACAACTGGTATTCATATCCAAGCTAGTTATCCATATTTAGGAGCATCGCCAGATGGAATTATTCAATGTACATGCCACAATAAAGGTTTAGTCGAAATCAAGTGTCCCTACAAATATCGTGAAGGTTTAAATAGTTGGAAAGAGGATAAAGATTTTCCTGTATGTGAAAATGGCGATTTAAAAACAAGCCATAAGTATTATACCCAAATACAAGGACAAATGATGATTTTAGAAGTAGAATTTTTGTGACTTTTTTATTTGGACACCTTTAGAAAGTGAAGGAAATTACTTATTAGTTAGAGTTTATCGAGATGAAAAATTTATTAATGAGATAAAGCAGGCATTACACAAATATTATTTTACATACATTTTACCAGAAACTGTAACAAGAGAAAATGATATTTATTATAGCAACAAGCAGAAAAACTATTGGATTTGTAAACGCCCATGCTTTAAACCAATGATTGCATGTAATAAACCTAGTTGTGAAATTAAATGGTTTCACTACTCATGTGTTAATGTAACTCGTGCTCCTAAAGGAATTTGAATTCGTCCAAATTGTTTAAAATAATATTTTGTACTATTTAGTTTGAAAATAAAAATTTATTATTAGATAATATGCTTAAATTCAGC